CTACATAAGACTCATCAGTGACGCTCAGATCAAAATAGTTATAAATCAAGTACAAAGTTGAAGAGCATTGAGGACCCAAAATTCCAAAAAGTAACATTTGGCCACTTTGTCTGCTTCCTCCTGTGGTTGAGCCCTCTTGCGAAGCTGGAGAACCTCAGGGTCTTTATTTTGCTCTTCCACCAACTTTCTTCTGTTTAATGAATGGCTGTTCACCTCTGGTCATGGCATAATTACATGCTTGTTTGTACTAGGTGGTTTTACTATGGCCTTTTCTGAGCTGCTTGGAACTTAATTGTTGGCATGGAACGTGTCAGAAAGGTCCATATAATCATATTGGTCTTCCTGTAAATCCTCATTTTGTTGTTTTCTTGCCATCGCCTTAGTAACAAAACAAGCTGGATACACTTCAACATCTTCATCCGGTGATTTAACATCCACCATCGTTCACTGGTAACAATTGGTTCAGCAATCACTTTGTTCCTAGCTAGATCATTTCCTAGCAATAATGAAACACCCTCAACAGGGAGATTAGAACGAACATCCACAACAACTGGTTCAATAATTTAATCTGACTTCAGATACATACGATGGAGGGGAACATCTATACAACCTAACTCCATACCCTGGAACAAAACGGAGGCACCAACAGAAGTCTCATCGGACAAAGGCGGCACACCTTCTAAAAACAAAGTCTGAGAAGCTCCAGTGTCCCGTAAAATCTTAATGGGCTGAGGAGTAATCAATAATAGAAACAAACCCATTAGACATAAAGGGTTTATAATCCTCCATGTAATCACAAAAACTGGACTTAAAAGCCTGTCTCGCAGGACATTCCAACTTATTGGTAACAAGGGGTGTCGTACAAGCACTGGACTTGGGTTTATTATCTCTTTCATTCTTCTTCTGGAGTCTAAAAAAATCCACCATCAGGTGACCATTTTTCTTACAATAAGCACAAGCTAGTGACTTCTTCTCAAACGGATCAAATTTTGGACCTATTATAACTAGACTGACTCTAACTCTGTGCAACAGGCTTACTATCAGTACGCTTAGTACTTTAATTTTTGTAATTTCCGCTTGAAGTATTAAAATTTTGACCTTTGAAACTTCTTTTATGTGAAAGGGTATAATTTTCGGAAATAACAGCTGCATCTTGCAATGTCTCCAGTTTTGTCATCTAAAGTTTTAGTCTAAGTGAACTCTTCTTATAACATTAATTGTCTTATTTTATCAAAATTGTTATCTATTTTCTTTGACGTCAGCCATTTATCAAATAGATCTTCTTTTTCCCTAGCAAATTCAGCATAGTAGTCAGCACTTCTGTGTTGACATGAATTATCATTGATATGGTCATAATTATAAACTAACTGTTTACACAACTTTAAATTTTTGAAATACTAAGGCTTTTCTACCTCAGGAATAGATTACTTTAGCTGTATTTGGCAAATCTTTTATGAATTTTTGGTCCTCAATGCTCTTCAACTTCGTACTTTATTTGGCCTTTTTAACTTTTGTTTGATTCGAGCGTTACTGATGAGTCTTTTGTAGACGAAACGCGCGTCTGGCGCAAATACAAAATTTCAATCCTGGTATCTATGATGAGTTTATTGTGAATCAAACTTTTTATACCACCTAAATTTCTGTCTATATGCTTCTGGCACAAGCTCATAAGCTTTCAAAACTTCATGTTTTACAGTATCATAATCAGAAATTTTTTCTGATGAAAGTGCTGAGTAAATTTCAGCGGCCTTGCCCTCAAAAACACTTTGCAGCATTTTAGTCCAATGAGGCTTTGACCATTTCAAATTTCGAGTAATTTTCTCACACTGTGGAAAATATTATCAACTGGGTTTTTTTTTCTCAGAAAACCTGGGAACCAAACGTATATTTTTTGCTGCATTAAAATGTTCTGATTTTGACTCTACTTTAGTGTTGCTTTCTTCTTTGACCATTTCAATTTTTCTTTTCTCCATCTCTAACCCTTCCCTCTTATTTCAAGTTCTGCCTGTCTTCATTTAAATTCATTTTCTTTTTCTTTCATTTTCTCCATCTCTATCATGTCTTCTTTTTCCAATTGTCTTAATTCATTTTCTTTTTCCATTTTCTGCGTCAACTAATTTGTCTATTACCAAATTTTCTATAATTTGTTTTCTCATAGATACTCTAAAATCTATTTTCAGATGTTTAGCAAGCAACACTAATTCCTCTTTCTTTAATTTATTCATCCCCTCCAGGGCTGTCGTTTTCAAAAATTTACTGGCATCAAATGCCATTTTGTAGAATTTTGTTGACCAATTCTAATTCAATAAAAAATACTGAAAAAAATCTTATCATATATTAACGTTATCCCGGACGATCCCCCAATTTCTGTTACGGCTAGAAATCACCTTTAAATTGTAGCCAACAAAAGACACAAATCAATTATAAAATTTTAATAAGATTTATTATACACAAGTTTACAAGAAATATTATACAAATTGAAATGTCAACTTAACTTTTAACATATATGTCCAAACCTTTTGTCTTTTTTTTTATCCGGATTTCTTCTCTTCAATGTTGCGGGAATCCAAACAGAATATTATGTGTAAGTCACAATCTAGTATGACGTAGTTAACGTAAATAAAAGTGTCAATGTAACAACTCCAGAGAACTTCTTAAAATATTAATGTCTAATCTGAAAGTCTAACTTTAGTGTCTATATACATATAGTTGTCACGAAAATCTCTAGAACACTGTAGAATAGAAACTCCTAGAAAACTTTAAAATTGAAACTTCTAGAATACGGTACAAGTGTAAATTACACACCGTAGATTGTCGGCATTCATCTCAAAAGCTAACCAAGCCTTTAAACAGACTTATTCGGAAGGGATATAGTTACGATACTGTTGTCAGGTCATTAAGGATTGTATATTTTGGTATTAATATTGATTCACTCATAGGGTCTTTGCATCGGAAATAAACACATTTATTCTAAAACCAGTTGTTGGCATGCTACGGGTTATGTTCTTCTCATATTTTTTATGATGGTATGATACTAAACCCCAAACTGGAGGGATTGTACTTGATTTTCATATGATGAAGACATAATCTTTCAATCAGTTTAATTGAGGTCTGGAGCTGGCATGTCAGTAACTGCTAGTAGTCCTTTGTTAATTTATGTATCATTGTCATTTTGCTTAGTTTCTTTTGTTACCTTTTCTGACATCGGACTCGGGCTTCTTTTAAACTGAGTTTTACTGTGCGTATTGCTATGTGTTTCTATATTCTACATTGGCTAGAGGTATAGGGGAGGGTTGACATCTCACAAAACATGTTTAACCCCGCTGCGTTTGTCCCAAGTGAGGTGCCTCTGTCTTTGTTAGTCTTGTATGTTTTTTTTTTAATTTTAGTTCATTTATATGTTTTGGAGTTTAGTTTGACGTCCTTTTTCACTGAACTAATACACATTTTTATTTAGGGCCCAGCTGAGGACCACCTCCGGGTGCGGGATTTTCTCGCTGCGTTTAAGACGCATTAGTGGCCTTCGGCTGCTCTTTGGTCGGGTTGTTGTCTCTTTGACATACTCCCCATTTCCATTCTCAATTTTATGATCATTCCAGAATTATTATGTAAGTCAAATAGAAAGTTATAATCATTTCATCAGTATCTATGAGTGTTCCAGTGATTTCTAAACTGTACAGTTATAGCATTATTTTGTAAACAACTATAAATATTATGTTAACATATTATACATGTTATAAGGCCGCACAAAACAAATTAGGCCAAGAAAATTAATATAAAAATTACAATATCATAACACTTTGAATATTGTCAAATTTGTTTTTAAAGTGTTAAAACTTTCAGCACATAGAAAGGTCTTTAAAGAATCGTGGCTCGTTGAGGGGTCAATTCAAAACCATTTTTCATGATTCAGTATGGATTCAAAAAAATAAAAACTTTGAAAAATAGGTTCAGTTTGGGTATCCGTCTATTGTTTTGTGAAAATAAACTTTAGAATATCGCTAATGTATTATTAGCTTGCAAGTTCATAATTCAACCTCATTTGAATCCGTATTCATGCCACCTTCTATTTAAGTTGGATATGGGTTACTTGTGTGCTAAGCATATTCAGTTATAAAAGAAAAGAATTTCAACCTAAAAAGTGAAACAGGGATACCTTTTTATATCAAGTAAGAAAAATGCACTATGATTAACAGAATCCGCCCAAAAATACACGATTCGAATTTTGTTCTGTTCAAACCAAGAGGAACATGCTGACCAGTCATTAACTAAAATTCTTTTGTTTTGATTAACTAGTTGAGAAACAATAAAAGAATGAGTGAGTAAGAATATTTTTAATTAACTTTTATTTGATGAATTAAAACTTGCTGATCTTGTTCCACGCTGAAAGGCATCTATGATAGGTACAATTTCGTAAAAGCATTTATATTAATTGCAAATGACATTTACGACAATATAGTCAATTCGATTTTATAATTTATATAATCAAATAGAAGGTTACTGAATCATGATTATAATGACACAAGTGTAGGAAATTCAATTTTATTTAATCAGTTTTATACCCTTTTGTACAAAATCCATATTTCTCAATTTTTAGCGATAATATTTTGCTTTGTTCATTAAAGCATTATTTTTTTCCATTTAGTCTATAATGATTCAATTCAAACCTCTTAATTTCTCGAAAGTACATTTGAGAACTAATATATTTCTCAAGTAATTTCGATACACATACGTGTATATTTAGCTTTTTTGCTTGAATAGAGTTAGGTGAACAAAATGCATAGCTCCTCTTTCCAGAACAATAAATAAGAAAACAATTTAAACAGGACATTTTTGTGTATATCTACCTTCATTCATTACGTACAATGCCAAACACCTAAAAGCGAAATATTAGAAATTATGTTCATGCTACATCGTTATTTTTTTTCAATATATGATTCTATTGAAAGTATTCTTTGCTTATGATATATTATTTGTTTTCTTATTGTCTTACTTTCCAGTTGGACAATGTTCATATTTAAAACCATGTTACCCTGGAAGTTGCTATGGAACATCTAATTGTATGTGTGCCGATGGTTTTGCTGGGGAAGGATGCCGTACATGTGAGTAAGAGACCCAGGTCAACATACATGCTAATGAGGTCTTTAAATTGTACCAATCAATATTCAATCTTTCTATGTGTGGAGCAGTTTAAAAACAAACCGAATCTGCTATTTAACTAAAATTTATATTTGATAGAACAAGTTTGGATTTTGTCTTCTTCACGCTTTGTATTTGGTTTCATATATTGCATGAATATTTTTGTCTATTCTACAGCTTCACCTTTCTGTAGTATGTTGACATATTTTTATAGTGATTAAGATTATAACACAATGTTGACAGCTATTTTTGACATTTTTTCCTATTATGTCTGTTTCTTTTGATCACACATTGTTGTCAATATGATGGAATTATATGCAAAAGTCATACAAGTGAGAGGTTTAGCTAGCTATAAAACCAGGTTTAATCCACCATTTTCTAAATAAGAAAATGCTAGTAGAAAGTCAGAAATATGACATTTGTTTTTCCATTCGTTTGATGTGTATGAGCTTTTGATTTTGCCATTTGATAAAGGACTTTCCGTTTTGAATTTTTCTTGGAGTTCATTTTTTTTTTTTTTTATTTTACCCTTTTTCCGTTATAACGATTGCTACAATAGATACATATTATTTTGTTCTATATATGATCGTATTCATTTAAAATAGTGAGGTTTCTCTACAAAAAATAGAATGCGAGGTTTCCACGTATTTCTGTTTTCGTTATATGTTCCCAAAATACTTGATTTCTTTCATTAAACGATGCTTTGCATACTTTACCTATCAATTCCTGTATCAATATTAACTTGCATGTCAATTATTTGTATCAATAGTGGGAGAGGTTGTTTATAATAAAATCCGAACGCCCGATTTAGGATAAAACAAAAAAACAAAATACAAACATGAAAATAGCAACCAAAGACAAACACTGAATTACATGCCCCTGACTTGGAACAGAAACATAAGGATTTTAACAAGGTTAAACATTTTTGTGAACGCACGACCCTGACGTAACTTAAAGAAAAAATATGTTTTTGAAGAATGAAGTATCAATCAGTACACATTCAGCGGATTAAATGTCAAGTCGTCATTAAACGTTTGGCAATAGCATGATCCTATTCGATGTCAGAATATAAGTATCGACAATACCATAAGTTTTCACGACTGTATAGCAATACATAATAATTTATTTACGAATTAATTTGTCACAACAACATAAAATGGTACTAGTGCTTAAATAATATTCAAAGTTCTCAAAGAACCTTCTCAAATATACAAAAAGAAAAAAACATCTTGCAAATACTTCACATTTTTAGATAAATTGATAATGTTTTAATAACACACATTTCAATATGTGCTTATAACTTATATATTCCATTTTAACTTGAGATTAGGAACCCTTCTGAAAGTATAACGCCTGCTTAATATCTTGATCTTTTTCAAGAGATTGAACCAGATGGACGACATCAAACTAGAATCTATTACAAATATGATAATACAAACTTTGCAATTGTTAACATCCCATTTTCTCAGCAGTAACATACCTCTTCTATATCGTACGGCGTTTACACATCTCGTTTAATTCGTTACGTTCGTGTATGTTCACACTATACAGACTTTATAACAGAGGTTTAGTCAATCTCGTCTTTTTTACTTTTTTGGTTCGAGGGTCGCTGCTGACTTGTGTTGATGAAGCACGAACCTGTCGTGCATAGTTTTTGATTCTGAATTATTCCTTACGAAAGAATTGCTCCAACAGAATTATGGCGAATATCGACTGAAATAGACACTGTATAAGTTTTACGATCACCATCACGAATTGGTTGACCGATACGATTTGTTGGTATCTCAACTTTCTAGCGGCTACGGTCTGTAGATACGAGTAAAGTAATCTGATTTGTTATTTTTGCGATTGTTAATTTTTAATGAGTGTGAATTTACATGGTAGATGATGCTTGTATAGCAGAAGAGTTCATGCGATTTCCCTCAGTTTCTGTTTGTTGTTTTGATTTGTCTCTACCTAACCGATTTCAAGATTTGAACATCAGTAAACTACTGTTGCCTAAATTTACTACAGCGTAAACAGATCTCTTTTAATAATAAATTTATTTAATGATCAATAAGTTTCCATTGATGATATATACATAAGCGGGCTCAATGACAACATGACTGTTAAAGGGGCACTAGCTGTCAAATTCATGTTCACCGATTTGACTCAAATTCTCATATTTGATATATAACAATGTAAAACATTTATCCAAATTATAAAAAAAATCTAAAATAAACAATTTACAGGGCATAGGGTCGATAATATGTAGCTTCGTTTTGTGTGTATTTTAGTCTAGTCGCCATCTAATTAACTGTCGAGTTGACCTCCCGAAAACCACCGATGCCCATATAAGGGATATAATCATAAATAAAGATATAAATATATAGCGCAACTCGTGCAATTGGATTCTTCTAGGTCTATTTAATTTCATTTATAGATTAAATATATATGTTAATGATCATTTTTACCTGTATAAGAATGATTTTTTTGTGGATCGAATCAGTCAATTAAATGAATTATCTTTGTTTACTTTCAATGTTGACATTCATTTCCTTAAAAAATCAAACATGCACACAATTCAAGCGTTATAAAACTATCAAAGGGGTTAAATTGAAGTTCACATGAATACGGATTCAATGAGGTCGAATTATTCACTTGCAAGTGAATAATTCATCATCAATATTTATTTGCTTATTTTGACAAAATTAGACAATACTGGCTGCTAAAAGCGAATTATTATTTCACTATTCCACTTTCATTAATGATTGAACAAAAAAAAATCATATTTTATAATTTTTTTATATCTCGTAGCTAGTGCCCCTTTAATAATAAAACGTGATATCCCGTTTGTAAAAAGAATTGAACAGGTAAATTTTCAAACCACATATTTGTATCTTTAAATTATTCAGCAAAAGTTTTACATAACTTGTTGTAACTAAATTCCTGACTTAAACAAAGTACAAGTTATACACAGGCTACATCCGTTGAAATAAAAATAAACGCAATTAGCAATAAGAGAATGGCGAACGAGTTTGGAAGTTATAATCGGTAGTATTAACGGTAAAATCTTCAGAATAATCAAACCAGTTTTCTAAAGTCTAACGTTGAACCTCAAAAGTATTGCCTTCTCTTTTATACTTTTCTTGGTAATAAATATGTATTATCATTAACTACATAAGGAAATACCCGAATATGACAGTTGTTTTCAATTCGTTTGGTGTTTAAGTTTTTAATTTTGCCATTTCATAAAGGACTTCCCGTTTTGAATTTTCCTTGGAGTTCGGTATTTTTGTTATTTTACTTTTTATTAAAATTAAAACGGAATAGCACAAAAATATCACAGTGTTCGTTTACTTACTTATATATATCTTTTATGAACTCAAGCCCAACAATGTTAGATCTGTAAATATGCGGTATCAAATTTGTCCTTCCATCAGCGTGGTTTCAACCTATGCTTCTGTGAAATTGTGGCAATACCTCATGAACTGTGTTCAGCTACCTGTACCACTCGGCGAACTATGCTAAATCAAGCCAAACAATATGTAGGTTTGAAATGTCCTTCTGTCTGTACAACTCGGCAAACTAGGTTTATAAAAATATAGCTTTCCTTACTCTGAAGTACCTCTTCAAGTTCTTATACCTCCTTGGCTTTCAAATATTTGGCTTTGAGCGTTCCTGGTGAAGGTAAATCCAGAAAAGTGCTTCGGGCGTATGAATTTAACGTGGTGGTGTATCAGTCCTCGGGGGAATTATCAGCTCAGTAGTTCAGTACTGACATGATTTATATATAACAATCCATTCTAAAATTTTCGTTTATACATTTTGAAAATATAAAGAAAAACCCTTAGATGGATTTTGCTTTTTTGTTCGGTCCTTTTTGGTTATATAGCTCTTCTACTGTTTCAGTTCTTATACATCCTTGGCTTTTAAATATTTGGCTTTGAGCGTTCCTAGTGAGGGTAAATCCAGAAAAGTGCTTCGGACGCATGAAAGTAACAACGTGTTGTTTTCATTTTTTTTTTCAAGTCACCTGTATCACACTACTTTATGTAGATTGTATGCTTTCCAGATAAACTACTAGTACTTTTGCCGCCGATACAATCCACTTAAAATCAAAGAACTAGTATGTTTGATTAATAACGATTCTAAATGAACATGGTAACCAACGAAAACCTTTGTCTACAGTCTCCTTGACAGAGAAATATGGTAGTTTTAACCTGTTTTTGAGTGCTCAATCTCAACCCTCCCTGCGTTTTGACTAGGAAAGAGAAAAGATGTTTTAACAGCTCAACTGTAGTACAAACCGTAAAAATCAATTTATGTCATGGAAACAGATTGAATATTATACGAACTTTAAAGTGTGTTTAATGTATCCCCTTTTTAACATTTTTTAAAGAAAAGCAAAGTCAAATCTATTCGTCAATATCATTCGTAAGGATGATGGAACACCACTGTTTAAATCAGAAGGAAGAAGTATATCGGTTTGTAGTTTTGTGTGTATGTGGTGATTTTTCTAAACTGAAACTTATGAATTGGTTAATATAATAGTAGAAGGAGATGAAAAATGAATGAAGACCCATGCAACATAAACTTCCGAAAATATACATCTATATCGTGTTGCTTCAAATACTGGTCAGCTTTAAAGAGTTTTAAATCGCTTCAACTTTTAAGACATTATAAAATAAACCTATAAATTCGTAATAACGTCACTTGCATTATCAAATAAGTTCAATTTCAGCACATTTCACTGTCATTGCAAAGATACATTGCAATTACATGCTATTGAGATATCGATATTTCATTTAGTTAAACATTAGTAATAGATATATATTCGCGATAATATCTTCTTTTCTATTTTCAAACGTCACTTTAATGTTAATTACATTTGCATTTCACATACAAAGGCAATTTTAAAAACATGACATTAGCCACCTATATTTACTTTCAGTTGCTAACGAAACATTAACTCCCGCCATTAATAGATGCAATGCTACCTTTACATACCATAACCACGCCAAGGATATGGACATATACACGTACTTCGGAGACGCGACACAATTAGATGAACCGTTTGAACTATGGTCAAATCAGAGGGATTTTAATATTATTGAGATGACAATGGAGGCCATATACGACACAAATTACAACATTCCGATAGAGTTACCACCTATACCCGACTATGTTAGCAGTATGGAATTGGGAATTACTGCTGCTAAAGTTAAAACAAAGCACACAAAAATTTCAGGTATATAAATTACTTAAGTGAGTAATTTGATTTTCATATTTCCATTTGCCTACTACCTTTTCATGATTGATTGATTGGTTATTGGTCGCTTAACGTCTAGTGGCAAATATTTCATATAATTGAGAATGGAAATGGGGAATATGTCAAAGAGACAACAACCAGACCAAAGAGCACACAACAGCCGAAGTCCACCAATGGGTCTTCAATGCAGCGAGAAAATCCCGCACCCGGAGGTGGTCCTCAGCTGGCCCCTAAATAAAATTGTGTACTAGTTCAGTGAAAATGGACGTCACCCTAAACTCCAAAACATATAAATGAACTAAAATTTAAAAACATACAAGACTAACAAAGGACAAAGGCTCCTGACTTGGGACAGGCGCAAAAATGCGGCGGGGTTAAACATGTTTTGTGAGATCTCAACCCTCCCCTATACCTCTAGCCAATGTAAAGAAACACATAGCAATACGCACCAGTAAAACTCAGTTTAAAAGAAGTCCGAGTCCGATGTCAGAATAGGTAACAAAAGAAACTAAGCAAAATGACAATGATACAAAAATGAACAAAGGACTACTAGCAGTTACTGACATGCCAGCTCCAGCCTCAATTAAACCGATTGAAAGATTATAACTTCATCAAATGCATGCATGTTCAGGACGAGAATAAATTAACAATGAATACAATAGGTAGGCCTGTAATAGAGCCGACGGGTTGAAGGTCGGGGAAATTTGACTGCCATTTAAAAATTTGGGTATATTGGAAAGGGACAGAAATTTTGCCTTTCAATAGATTACCTACGGACCCCTCAAATAGACCCTTTAATGCTCATGAAATAAATGCAAAGGTGGTATAAGAACGAATGATAATTCATAAGACACAGATAATTATTCAACCGGGAGAATTGATAAAACGAGTGGAAAAAAGATACTGGTAAACAACATTTTCATTTTGTTAACGTTCAAACTCTTAATTTACGTTTATCCTCAAGGACATAAAGAATATTTGTATTTTGATCATGTTTACTTTTTGAAGGTAAACCAAAGACAGTAATCATACATATTTAGATTCCAGTTTTGTGTGAAATTTACATTCAACTAGATCATGAGAATTTATAGAACTTTTCAAGTTAGAGCAAATAACTCATCTGCAAAATAGAAGTACAGATGTATAGACTAAGATGTTTTCGCTAACACTATTGAAATATAGTTATCAAACATAGTTACACCTGAATTATTTAAACAGCAATTTCGCTGATCCCTGTAAAGTTTATATGAATAAAACTGAAATGGCATTGCCAACAGTACTGCGTAGGACAGACAAAATGTTTAAAGTCAAACTATTTAATATTTTTTGTGATATTTACGTGCGTTCAGTATTTGTATAAATGCGTTGTGCATTCTATACATTTCTCTTAAATTATACTTCACTATTTTTTTCCCCGAATATTAATATGCAGTCCACAATTTTCTTTTGGTTGCAAGCACAATTTCATTATGTACGTGACATAGCACATTTACGTTTTAGTTTTAAACATATTTTATTTGCTTAAGTATGCAAAAGGGATGAGACACAAGTTAGTCAAACTTATGAAGTCTTCTCCCATGAACAATTTATAACAATAGATTTTTTTACAAAACATGCATGCAAACAATACATTATATATATTGGATATGTAAAATGATGATGTGTGATGATGTGAATGGTTGTACACAATATACATGTATATGCACTTTAGTGTGCTGTATTACACAATTAGAAACCTCTTTGACTCTTTAATAAATTCATATACATTCTTTAAAATTCCTTCATTTTCATCATTAGTTAGTGACGAATCACCGGAGGTTAAGATGTTCAAATTTAGTAGAGAGTTCTCTGATAACCAGTTCAGGTTATTAGATAGTTTGATTCTTATATTCGTATAATTAGGACATTCAAAAAAGAAGTGAAATGAATCTTCACGCTTAGCGCCACAGCTACAAGACGGATCCGAAATTATATTGACTCTGTTAAGATCATAATTCAAAAAAGAGGCTGAGCATTTAAGTTGAGTCAAAATGATGTTGAGTTTACGATTGCCAAATTTATAATGTTTAGGGATTTGAATTCAGTTTAAGATTTTTTAATTCGGTTTTTAATTTACCTAAAGAGTCAATGTTGCGGGTCACCACATTAAGGTTATTCCACAGTCGTATAGTTGTAGGTATGAAGGATTCTTGGGTCAATGAAAGTCTACAAAAAGGGTATATTATATCATTCCCATTACGTAAGGGGTAAACAGCTGTACTTTGGATTGTTGGTGGAATTAAATTACAAAGAAAGGCTGGTGCATTATTATGTTGAATATTATAAAATAATTGTAACTTCCTCCTTTCTCTTCGTTCAGCTAGAGTTTCCCAACCAATCTCATCATAAATAATTCTACTACTAGTAAAAATAGGAAGACCTGTTACAATTCTGGCTGCCTCAAGCTGCAGCTGCTTTTATTTGTTACAATAACCCACACCCATATTACCCCAAACTTCACAGGCGTATTCGAGTAAAGGTCTTATAAAAGTCAAGTATAACTTTTCTAAATTATTCCTACTTAATCTGTACTTTAGTTTTCTAAGTACATTCAAATGTTTCGATACATTTTTTATGATACTTTCCACATGAGTGTTCAATTTAGCATCTCTACTAAATGTAACACCCAAGTGTTTATGAAAATATGTAACTTTAATATTCTTACCATTGAATATGAAATTCATTTCCGGAGTTTCAATGTATGAAAACAACATAATTTCTGTTTTTTCTGGGTTAAAGGACATCAGCCATTTCTTAGACCAATCGCTCAGCTCACTCAGGTCGTGACTGATCACTGATTTTATTTGTGACGTGTCACGACTAGAGTAGCTGAGAGATGTGTCATCTGCAAATAATCTACATAAAGATATCAATTTTTTAGCAATATCATTAATATAAATAATGAATAAGAGGGGTCCCAAAACAGAACCCTGTGGGACACCAGCTGAAATACTGCAAAGCTCTGACGACGATTGTTTAATACCAACTCGCTGTTGTCTGTTGTTCAGGTAACTTTTAAACCAATTCAATAATTTCCCGTCCACACCGTATGACTTCATTTTATATAGCAATCCTTGATGCCAAACTTTATCAAAAGCTTTAGAAAAGTCACAGAAAACAAAACAGCTAATTTCTTTATTTTCTAGTGAATTTAAAATACAGTTGTAAATTTCTAAAAGCTGATGAACTGTTGAACATTTTGGAAGAAAACCAGACTAGTATTCATATACTAACTTATTTCTATGTAGGTGATTGAAGACATGTTTATAAACAACTCGCTCCATTATTTTCCCTACACAACTTATAAGCGATATGGGCATATAGTTAAATGGCAACGAACTATCTCCCTTTTTAAAAAAAGCAATTACATTTGCAGTCTTCTAGCTGGTGGGATATTTACATTGTTGTAAGGATTTATTAAATCTTATTTTTAAAGGAACTGCTATTTTTTCAAGACACATTTTCAGCATTTTATGACTTATGACATCTGGACCAGATGCCTTATTAGGATCTAAAATTTTAATTATATCAACTATTTCATATTTTTCAATTACTCAATCATTAAAATTAATATTGGTTCTTGGTTCAACTTCAGGGATGGGAACACCTTCCTCCTCTAGGGAAGAAATCAGACTAAAATATTTATTCAACAGATTACATTTCTCGTCGTCTCCGTACACTACATCTTCCATACTTTCATCGTGAATAATATTATAAAGTGGGGGTAAATCACCAGAACCTTTATTGGATTTTATAAGCATTTTCATTATCTTCCAATAAGTTTTGGGGTTAGCCACGTTATTTAAGATGATATTATCCAAGCTTCATTCAAATTTTTCTTTTGCAGCTTTTTTCAAATTATTTACTTTATTCCTCTGCTTTTTGTATTTATTAATGTCAGAATCTTTTTTAGTTTTTAAGGCTTTTTTACGAAATCGGTCTCTTCTGCGGATTTCTTTCCTTAGCTCGTTGTCAATCCATGGTCTGTCATTGTTTCGTATATAAACATGTCGAGTTGGGATGCTCTGCCTTGCGATTTCAAGGTTTTTTTAGTAAATGTATTGCACATCTCGTCGACATCCTCAACATCAGAAAAAAGTGCATCCCAACTGACAGAATCAAGTCCTGAAGAAAATTTATTTAAATCTGCTTTATCGTACAACCAAATTTCTCTTTTGAATGATTTGGATGCAAATCTCGGACATTCTAAAAATTATAAAGAAGCATCGTGATCACTTATTTCAGACGGTAATTTAAGTACGTCGGCAATAGAATATTTAATTGTGTCGCTGATTATTATCGGGTCTAGCAATGTGCTACTGTGTCCAGTCACCCTTGTCGGTTTCCGTCCCTTTTAACTTACTTGAAGTTGTCAAAATCATGTGTTTCCTTTAAGAGAGTGATTGATTCAGAGATTACGGTACCTTCATAGTGGTTAATATTATATTACAATGTTGGCTGCTGTACCCCAATTTTGACATTTTTACCTTTTATGTCTGTTTGTTTTGTTCACACATAGTTGTCAATATGATAGAATTATATAGGACTGTCATACAAGTGAGAGGTTTAGCTAGCTATAAAATCAGGTTTAATCAACCCTTTTCTACATTAGGAAATGCATGTACCAAGTCAGGAATATGACAGTTGTTTTCCATTCGTTTGATGTGTTTGAGCTTTTGATTTTGCCATTTTATAAAGGACTTTCCGTTTTGAATTTTCCTTGGAGCTCGGTATTTTTGATATTTTCCTTTTATATGTTTGTGTAATATTGACTTCAATTGCATGAATAAGTTAAGTTAGGAAACATGGCAAATATAATGCATTTAGATCTTCGTTTATGTTTCTATATCTGTTTGATCTATTCCAGGAAGTCTAACATATGAAGAAGAGTATATCTGCCCAGAACCGAAACCCGCTAACCCAGTTTTAAATTCAGTTCTGACCTGTACTTTGAAAGGAACAAATGATATACGAGTAGATTCAGGAGATATGTGAGCACTTTATTTATACATGCATTTTATCGTCATATAGAAATAATTAATAGCTGCACCATGAGCGCATGAAACATATTTCCTATTTTATTTTTTCAGTACAAAAGTTTTATAAGCCATGAAACATCTAGGAAAACTGTCAACATAGCAAAAGGTTCTTTTTCGGCTCTAACTTTTAGGCAAATTCCTAAGAAAAGTGATTTCTGTGCAAAATGCACAAAATTTTTCTTTTCGTTCGTGAGTTCAATCTCGTAGCTCTTGAAAGATTAGAAATAACTCAAAACTTAATTTTTAGTACTTATATTTTTGGAAATCAATTTTAAATTGAAATTTACAACGATTCTTTCACATCAAATGCTACCTTCATCTATACTTTTTAGAGGTAAATTTTATTATTAAAGAAGATGTTCCATTATTTGGGTTATTTTATACGATCTTTGTAAAAATGCGAGGCACGCGTTTTGAAATAGTTTTAAAAATCGTCAATGATAACCGTTGAAATTTGGTTCTGTGAAAGAATACAGTTCATACGTTTGACAATTTATGTCTCTATCCATTATGCATAATTATTAGTCGCTGAAAATAAAACAATTGTCTTCTTCCGGTAAGACATTATAAATGAAATTTTCTAAAACTGGACAAATTCGTGAATAAATACGTTATTTGAAAGCACACAAACATATTTTTTTTTGCGTAGTTCAGTTGTATTCAAAGAAAAAAAAAATGAAAATCATGCAATCCAAAATCCAAGTAAAATAGGATTTCATTGTTTTATTGTGGCGATTATTTGTAAATTTGACAGTCTATAGTCTGTCTTGTGGTTCATCAATTTTGTGGACTTGTTGACAAGAGTAGAAAGTGTCAAATTTGGCCAATTGATCTGAAAAGGAAAAACCAATAATTAAATCAATAAATAAGTATTCAATGAATATCAAAGCATTGGATATAGCAAATACATGAGTTCATTTTTGGCAAAGACAAAACAAGTATTAAATTCGTTTATTATGTATACGTTTTATAATCATATCTACTGTATATAGGTGTTTATCTCGTCCACAAATTCTAAATGTCCAGCTAATGTTCACACCCTGAATTGCTTGTAATTACTGACATAACATAGCTGCGATCGATCCATAATATAAGACAAATTAGCGTGCCGTTTACAAACGTCGTCCCTCTTCTGGATAGAAATATTAAAATTGTTTCTAGTGTTCTAAACTTCACACATTAGCACCGTTTGATCAGGATTTAAGAAAGTTTCGATTTAATAAGGAGAATAAAGGGGTTTTTAGTTGGATTAACCCTTTCAGGCATTTTCTTTTAAAAAGGTAAAATATGTAAAGTCCGAAATGTGTGTTATTTTCTTTTATTTCTTAACATTTCTAATCTAGAGGAAGCAGAAGACGAAATATTTATAAAAAGTAAAATGTTCTCTATTGAAAGTAAACTTTACAGTCCGCCAAAAGTTAAGCACCACCTATTTTTATTGCATCGAAATCTTTTTCATTTAAAAAAATCAGTTAATCCTCGAAAAAGAGCAAATATTCATGTAGCAATTTTGCTAAAATATACCATAAACAAACCGCAGACTTAAGTTTGTTAACGTATGCAGGTTCTATGCATTTGAAATTTGCGTTCATAGAAATAGTGAAAATTACACAAATCAGAAACGGAATTTAAGTTTCACTGTGATTTTATTTTTTTACAACAATTAATCACCCAATATCATTAAAAGTCTCTACAAATAATCTTTGGTATGTTCGGCAAATTTAATGTCAATATTTGAGTCAATAGGATGTGTAACACCCTCTCTTCCGGTGTAGTTCCTTAACACGGAGTCTCATACTCTGTACAAGCCTTCTGAACTTTAGTTGAGCAAATTTATTCCATTCAGCAACAATTGCGCTTCTTAAATCGCTAAGATTTTGCAAAGGTGGATCTCTGTGATTGAGATTTCTGCCAATGGCATGCCAGACATGTTCGATAGGGTTCATGTCTGGAGACATGGAAAGCCAAAAGATAGTGTCAATGGCTTCTTGCTCATTGTACTCTTTGTACTCGGTTACAATCCTTGCCCTGTGTGGTCTAGCATTGTCGTACATGCACAAGGGTCTTGAAGCAAGTGGAGGATTATCAAAATGAGGGACTACAATGTTTCTAAGCACCAAATCCCTGTATGTCTGTCCGTTCATGTTACCCTGCAGAATATGCATATCCACCTTACAACAGTATGATAAGAAACCCCATACTGTAACACCACCAGCAACGTATGCAGTCGATGGGCAAATGTTGTTTTGGTCATTAGCAGTTTTATTTCCACGGCAAACTCGTATTCTGCTGTCTATTGGTAGTACCAGAAACTGACTCTCATTTGACCAATGAACATTTTGCCAGCTTCTCATGTTCCAGCGTCGATGGTCATTAGCCCTTTGAAACCTGATTATACGGTGCCTGGCTGTTAGGGCAGGTCTCTTGACAACACGACGTGCTCTTAGGTAGCCTCTATGAAGTCGACGGACCAATGTTCAAACACTAACATGACCACCTTGACGCCAGTGGTGTCTACGTTGTGGGGCAGGAGTAAATGGGTTGGCTTTAGCGTGACCAATAAGGAGTCTGTCATCACGATCGGTATTTAAACGGGGTCTTCCGGACCTTGGTCTATATATCATTTACAGTTCCTGTGTCAACATGACGTTGTAAAAATCTGACAATGACGGTGTGTTTAACATTGAAATGGTTACCTATGCAACTAGTGCTCCTACCGGCATTTGACATGTTAATTGCTTGTCAAGGTTCAGTCACATATAACTTACCCCTTGCCATATTTCACAGTGACTTGGTGAAGGTCAAATTTGACCTATACGCGGGGCTGTAGGAAGATGATTTAAAGGCATCGAAACAGTGTATTCGAAAAAGTGCAGATGACCTTTAATAAAAAATTGCTTGGCGTGTTGATCGAATTTTTTTTTTTTGGTCGTAATGAATTTTCTTAGTGTATGTTATAGGCAATTCATAACACCAAACATAAATATTTTTTTCGCAATAGTTAAAAAAATATTGCCAGTTATAATTAGGTGGTGCTTAACTTTTGGCGGACTGTATATAAAATCCGAGCCCAGGGGCACGTTCTGCTGCTTATTACAGATCAAATTTTGAGATTACACAGATTAAACTTTAAATTTCTTGATTCGATTGTATTTTAAAACCTTATGTTTAAAACATTGTATAATATGTGGTTGAAAAAAATTTCAGAACATTAATGTGTATCCGTATCGTGGCATCCATATACATGTAATAAAGTTAAAACCATCAACTTTTTTATTTTATCCCAATGACTCTATCAAAGTTTTTTTTATTAAATAAAAAAGTGTAATTTGTAGCGTGTAATAAGTTCTGCTGTATAGTGAATATATTTACAATGAGATGGAGTAGAGAAGAAGGAATTCAAAAGATAAATTTACATATCAAAATACAGATTTAGTGCACCTTAATTTCTACAAAATAAATATGTCTTACTTAAACTTGTGGATAACACCATGTATGTTGTTTCCTTTTATATTTGATGAATCAAATTGCGCAGTACAAGGATATTTAGACATTCGGAAAACAAGAAAATTTGGAAAAAATTGATATTGAAATTAGTTCATTCAAAAGGTTGCAAGCTTAGTGCATTTCATATTATTAGTTGTTCTGTCAATAAACTCATCATAGATACCAGGATTTAAAGAAATAGTGTACGCCATATACTGGCGTTTTCTAGAAAAGGGATGGTCAATGGTGGTACTGTTACACTTAAACTCCAGTACACTCCTAAAATGATACACCAATATTTACGTATTGATGCAGGAAAAGTTGCCCTAATAAGGTTAATCGACAGACAAATTCGAAGAAAAATTGTTTGATTAAATTATAATTGTACTTTTGTTGAAATGATATTTATGCATTACAATTTAGAAAAGTTATTAATCAAAATCTAATCAGTCTGGAGTTTTCTATGTTGTGGTTTATATACTGTCTTTTGGTCGTTATTCGTTTTTTATTTTTTTTTTTTTTTTTTGCCATAGCATTGTTAATATAAAAATAAGAAGATGTTGTATAATTGCCAATGAAACAACTCCCCACTAGAGACCAAATGACAACTATAGGTCACCTTACGGCCTTCAACCATGAGCAAAACCAATACCGCATAGTCATCTATAAAAGGCCACGAAATGACAAATGTAAAACAATTCAAACGAGAAAACTGACGGCCTGATATATTTAAAAAAAAAACAATTAACGAAGCTCAAAAATGATATACAGCAACAAACGACAACCATTGAATAACAGGTTTCAGACTTGGGACAGACACATACAGAATGTGGCTTGGTTGAACATGTTAGCGGGCGCCCAATCTTCCCCCTAACCTGGGACAGTGGTATAACAGTGCAACATATGAACAAACTAAATTACTATAAAAATCAGTTGAAAAGGGCTTTACCAATCGAATCGATAGAAATCAGAAAAACAAGTAACAAAAAAAATTAAAAAAAAGTACAGACCGGACGTGGCAGGGTATATATACATCCCTACAACAAAATTGACACTATAAGTACAGTTCTGAGAGTACTCGCAATTACTGACAGCTAGTTCAAAGCCAAGAACATTAATAAAAAATCATGTATCTAAGACTAAAATATCAATCAATACACATCCAGCATCCAATTGATTTATCTAAGACTAAAATACCAATCAATACACATCCAACATCCAATGGATTTAGTGTAAAGACGTCATTAACAGTCAGAGAAAAACATGAACTTGTTTCAACTCGTTTTAGACTGATGGAGTTAAATGTCTATTTAGACATCTTTCGCCTTTCATAACATTACCAAATTACAAACAAATATCACGCTGGATTTCATTATAACATAAATAAGAACTTTGGTATCTAACTAATGGTTTCTGCTTGGTTATGAGAGTCATATCTTTCAAAAGTAACAGAAAATTCTCACTTTCAACAAAAGAAAGCCGTAAAAGATCACCAACTATAAACATTAGAGTAATTGTAAGATCTACTTGATGTCACTTTTTATACGATTTCTCGTTTCACCTTATTTACAAAATTCAAAACTAATTCTTGTTGGAACAACCTTTTACAAACAAATGAATTAAATAAAAGTCTTTGTTTATCAGGTAATTAAAATCTAAATGTTTTCCATACATTTTCTGCAGAGGTGGTACGACAACATTGGTGCTAAGTACAACATTTTGCAGATTATGTGGTATGAATTCAGCGGCCTGTCGGCAACTTTAAATGAATTACAAGATCGATTTGCTAATGTACCCTATTGTCAAATGATCAATGTTGCCTTCACGGAAAATATAGCAATTGTTTACATTGAAAGATTTATCCACGATCTAAAATCACTTTTACATTGAATATTATTAGTTGTTTTACTTCATGCGTAAATGATATCCTTCAGGAACTATTCCATAACTTTATAAAATTAGATTGCCATAAAAATACAAGGTACAAACTTTGTTAATATTTTGAAAGTTTGCAAGTGAAAAATATTGAAATAATTTATTGCGTATAAAGAATATTATTTATACATCTCTAAATATAAAAGTTTTTTTTACATGTAAGTCTCATCCGTTGCTACATACTAAAGCGCTAAACAACGATTACTTTCAAATTCAAAGTCCAAATATATTTGTAAAATCGGTGAGCAAAAATTGGTCGAAAAATAGGCACATCCAAACCCACATGTCGAAAACAATCTGACTACCCTGACCACACAATGACAAAAAACGAAAAACGGCCAAAAGACAAACAACAGTCCACAATACACATCATAGACATGATAGAAATCCTAAGACTGAGCAACACGAACCCCGCCAAATTCAAAAGTAATCTCAGGTGCCCAGGAGGGATAAGCAGATCCTTCTCCATATGTCGCGCCCGTCATGTTGCTCATTTGTGTTGTTCCAGGAGTAAATACTTTAGCCGAGTTCGCAAACTCCGTAGTTGTGTGTATTCTAGTTTCACTTAAAATAAAAAAATATTGTGACCCGAAAAATCACAAAAATAGCTGATCATATTTGCATCTTGATTTATTTGTTTATTGTACGGCTTGCTTTCTCCCTTGTGGTTTCCTGATTTTGTGGAAGAGAGGCGAAAGATACCAAAAAGAACTTTCAAACATATAAGTCGGAAATAAACTGATAACGCCATGGCAAACACGGAAAAAATACCAAAAGGCAAACAACAGCATACACAACACAACATAGACAAGTGGAGACTGAGCAACACGGACAATACCAAAAACCAGGGTTGATATCAGGTGCTCTGGAGGGGTAAGCAGATCCTGCTCCACAAATGGTACACGTCGTGTTGCTCATGTAAGTACAAACTCGGTGATAATTCTAATTCGGTGGGACACATTCAAGGAAAAGAAAAGCATGACCTTGTGCAATCCAAGCAGATTGTAGAACCATGAATGTGCATATGAATATATAAAAATAAACTTTAGTTTGATTTTAATTTACGGATAACAAAATCAATATTAATATCCATTAAAACCATATTCAAAGATCTAATTACAGTGTTGGTAATTTACCTTCCTTGGATTTGTACGGCAAAATATGTATTTCAGTTTGAAGTAACCGTATTAGATTTTTATTGAATCTCTGTCAGTCAATTAAGTTTATGTTGTTTACATCTCAGTACACTACAGTGTATTTTCCCAATCAGCAAAAATAATACACCGTGAATCTAACTTGCCCATTTTGTCATCAAATAGCGAAAACAAAGCAAACACTAAAACAAACCTGATACACGTTATACCCTGATTTGTTTTAAAACGACACGAAGACTCATTCATACGTGTCACATTACAAAAAGTACAGAGTCGACACATATCACATCAGATTCCCAGTCAATAAAACTTTGCTCTAACTACTACATGAACTTACACATAAAACATACATTCTAATGCAATTTGATTGTAACGATTTTTTTCATTGGACGTTGACAAATATTTTGAAGGATAAGATTCCACGTTCTGGCAGTCCGTAACTAAGGAAAGGCCAACATTTTTCAAATTTAGTGATTTTTTATTTGTAAATCACTTTGAAATTATTTTGCACACCTATTTTCCAATTTTTTTTTAAATCCACTTATAAGAAGACATTTCTAAAAACTTGTGATTTTTTACACAAAAGAAGTTTTTTTTCCAAAATTATTGAGCCGAGTTTTATCAAATCATCATATGCACATCTACATATTAAGCACAAGAACTGTGCATTGGCCTCCTATGTATACTTTTGGAGCTTTTGAGTTTACAATAGATTGATTGATTATTGGTTGTTTAACGTCTAGTGTCAAATATTTTTTGCATATTTAGGAAGAGAACAAATTAACAAATTAACAATAAATACAATAGGTAGGTCCGGTAATAGAGGTCCTCCGTGATGAAGGTCGGGGAAATTTAGACTGCCACTGAAAAATTAGGGTATATTGGATAGGGACAGAAAGTTTGCCTTGAAACAGGCCATTTTGGACCCCTCATAGAGTTGTCGCAAGGGTTCTAAACGCACAAAGAGAGAGGCATCGAATTTAACGTCCCTATTTTGACCGAACATGGCTGCGTACTCGTACAATCCCACACAGCTAAACAGACGCCCCACTTTAGCTAGGCTTTTACTGACGGTCGGAAGAAGACCTGTAGTGACCATATTTCTATTCCTCTAGTCACCCCCTGGGGCGTTAACAAAAGACTTTTCTCACAAAAAAAATTTTAAAGAGTAATGAGCCGAATTCATTAAAATATAACATGTACATCTAAATATTAAGCACAACAACACAATTTCAATGGCCTCCTACGTATACTTTTGGAGTTTTTGCGTTTACAAAAAGACAGACAGACAAGCAGACAGACAGACAAACAGACAGACAGACGGACAAAGCGAAAACTACAGGGCTCTCGAATCCGTCCTAATAAAATCTTGCTTGTAGAAATTTTTTATTGAAATCATAAATCGTTATCAATTCAATCTTTACAGTGCTCACAAGATTTTTCAATTTTTTTATCTTTTTTTTTAGATTTTCTCTGACTTTTAGTGCTACATCAGGAGGTTATGTAAAGTATCTCGATCGAGACACCAACCAAATAAAAAGTACACTCTATTACACTGGAAAAACCAGGGAAAACTTCATAGATTTTAAGTTTGATTATGAGGTGCCTGTCCACTGCATCAGCGATTCAACTCCTTGTTTGGATAAATCACCACTTCGTTTAGATGAAGATATAACACAGGTAATAAAATATAGTACCAGCATTTACGTACTTTAAAGTAAAATATATTACTAATTGCATACTAAACTGAGGTATCAAATGTAATGTTCGATTTAAGTCTTTGAAGCAGATCTGGATACTGCATTATTAAGGATACGCCTATTCTTAGATGACGAAACCTCCTTTTGACAAGATATCAATGGAAAGCAAATGGTTAAGCTGCAAGAATAAGTGTTTATCATACATGTCTTGACAAATTGAATGACAAAAAGACAGTTTAAAATTACATCAGAAAATTTGATTTATTAATCCTTTCGAATGGGATAGACTAGTGACGTCACTGTTACGAATTAGACTTTAATAGATTAACGGTTCGTACACACTCAATCTATTTTCGAAGACTAAAATGTTGATATATACCTCTGTTATCTCAATGAAAAATGAGAAGGTGATCCCGGCTTCTGATAAATCTCTCATACGTAAACTAGTTTCAAATCATGAGTCTTAGCATTAATTGTTGTTTGCTTAAAGTCTAGTGGCAGTTCTTTTGTGCCTATTAAGGATATATAAATCTTTAAAACTACAGTAATGTAGTCGTGTTTCCTTAACAAAAAAAAACAACTATCACGTTGTATGGGTCTAAATGTTCTTGATAACATCATTATTGATGTAGTGTTCGAAATGAAAACAACCCTGAGGTAATAACAAAAATAATTCTTATACAATTCAATCAGTAGTAACAATCAATTTATATAAAAATCAATATATCTATACGTATACAGGAAAACTGAATAAATTTCCATTGTGTTTTAAAATAATCAATTAACAAGTCACAAAAAACAATCTTACCCCGTTTCAAATTCTGTATTAATGTATTACATTATACTTATTTCTGCACTTCATGCATTGCGAAATATGCAACGACCAGACACATTGCATAGTTGCGCTTGTAGTATTTTTAAATGTGGCGATCGTGTCGTGGCAAGACGTTTGTCCCCTGAAAGGACCCGACCTGGACTAATTTGTGTAATATTTAATCAATAGCATACATTTGATTTGATTTGATTTTTGGTGTTTTAACGCCACTTTTAAGCAACGCTTTTGGACTATTTCGTGGCGGCCAGTTTTTATTGGTGGAGGAAGCCGGAGTGCCCGGAGAAAACCACCGACCTTCGATAGGAAAACTGACAATCCTAGTCAATTAAGATTGGAGTCGAGTGTACCCACACGAGCGGGGTTCGAACTCACAACATCAGTGTTGACTGGCCAGTGATTACAGTAGTTACTACTTAGACCACTCGGCCACCGAGGCCCCACAATAGCATACACATAGCATAATTAAAAAAGATTAAAAAAAATCAATAACATACACCTTTCATAGCACTGTCACATATTCATTAAGCTACATACTTAAATATCACCCAATCTTGGATATCAAATCTGGAATGATATTGTAATTAATATGTTAGTAGTAAACTGACCTTAAAAAAAATGATGGTCCTAGACAATTTTTGATACAAAAATATTACAATTCAATATGATTGAAAAAATGGCTACCAACTATGATAACGACTTGTAGTTTACTGCCCAAAAACAAAGAAAAGCTTAACAAAAGATTCCAGTCTAAATATATCTGCCCAATAGAAAACATATTAATCAATAGGTAATGTTCTACCTTGAAAAAAAACTAAGCAGACTACGAATTATAAGAATTGTAAATAAAACTAGATTTGTAATTGCTAGCAATAACGGATGACACCCTTCCCCCATTGCCAGGTGAGCGGCAGCAATTTTGAAAATTCCAAAGTCAAAGAGTGCATCTACAGATGTCTATTAACATTGTTGTAAAGTTTCATCAATTTTGGAGCATTTTGAAATTTTTGAAATTTTTGTTGTTTCCATGGAAACGGCAGCCATTTTGGAAATTCCAAAGTTGAATACCAACTCTTGATTTGCCACTGTGCCACTTAACATTTCTGTAAATTTTTCAGAAAGTTTGGAGCATTTTGAAATTTTTGGAAATTTCTTCGGTTTCCATGGTAACAGTGACCATTTCCTAAATTCCAAAGACACCTACCACATTGGCACATGATAAGGAACATACAATTAAAGTTTCAATGGTTTGATATGCCATGTTAAGAGTGTAAATACTACTTTAAGATTTTTCCCATAGGGTTTAATGCTAAACATATTTAGTTTCCATGGCAATAAAGTAGTTCCAAAGATTCTCAAAATCGTCTAAAACCTGTATAAAGTGGACACCAACAATATATATAAATTTGATGATTTTAAGTTCGGGCATAGTCAAAATATTTGCCAAAAACTAAAATTTTATTTTTTACATTTGTTCTGTTTCCATGGTAACGGTGGCCATTTTAAAAATGCCATACCCCGATTGCACAATTTTATATAGTGGTCCACATTATGGTATAGTTCCATCAATATTGTTCTAGCCAATTCCGAGAAATAGCATGGACAAAAAAGTGTGGAAGAATAAATATAATAATAAGAAGAAGAAACTAGATTTGCCATTGCAAGCAATAGCAGATGGCACCCTTCCCCCATTGCCAGGTGAGCGGCAGCCGTTTAGCAAATTCCAAAGTCAAAGAGTGCATCTACACATGCAAATTATTATTTTTGTAAAGTTTCATTAAGTTTGGAGCATTTTGAAATTATGAACATTTTTGCTGTTTCCATGGTTACGCCAGCCATTTTGAAAATTCCAACTTCAAAATGCAACTCTGCCCATGCCAGTTACCATTTCTGTAAAGTTTCATCCAGTTTGCAGCATTTTGATTTTTTTTTTAATTTTGAACATTTTTGCTGTTTCCATGGTTACAGTGGATAATTCCAAAATTCTAATAGCAGACATCTCATTGCCACATGTCATGTTATATATCAATACAGTTTCATTGACTTTGGTCAAATATTCTTTAAGAAAATGCTGATTTTATGCATTTTCCTATAGGGTCAATGTAAAACTTGCCCCCAGTTTCCATGACAACAGCGCCCATTTTGGACTATCCAAATATTGTCTTGACATCTTAGCATACTGGGTAACATTTTCATAAAGTTTCATCCAGTTGGGTCTTATAACGAAAGAGTTAGAATGTTTGATATTTTAGCTGTTTCCATGTTAACAGCAGCCATTTTGAAAATTCCGAAGTCAAACTGCAAATCAGCACATGCCTGTTACCATTCCTGTGGAGTTTCTTCCAGTTTGGAACACTTTGATTTTTTTCGCATTTTTGCTGTTTCCATGGAAACGGCGGCAATTTTTTACCATTCCATAGCACTGTGCACAACTTTACATGGGGTCCTCATTATAGTAGAGTTCCATCAACATTGGTCCATTGGATTCCAAGAACTCGCGCGGACAAAATGTGTGGAAGAAAAATAAGAAAAAAAAGAAACGTAGAATAACAGTATGTCACCCCAACTCCGTTGAGGGTGCCATAAAAAAGAAACGAACAATAACAATATGTCACGCCAACTCCGTTGAGGGTGCCATAATAAATCTAAGTATTCACTAATAACATTTAACCTTGAATAATGTAAAACATAAAAAAATATCTCTACAACATGTATTCTTAACAGAGTTAAAAGTAAAAACGATTGAGTTCGACACTACACAACTGTTCGGTCACCATCATCAATTGGTTGACCAATGAGATATGTCTATGTCTCTATTCACTAGACAAAATGTTTTGCAGCCTTAGATCTTTAGATACAAGAATAGTAATAGAATAATTTGTCTGATTGTATCCTTTTTCCAATCGTGACTTTTTGAATGATTGTGAATTCTAATGTCGGGAAATGATTGTGGATTCCAATATGCATACATAGCAAAGGAGACGCTTACTTTTTTTATTTGAGCGTCGGTTATGAGTTTTTTTTTTTGTTGACGAAACTCTCGTCTGGCGTATATAATTATAAGCCTAACATCTTGGATAAGTTTTTTTTTACCCTGTCGATGCTCCTTTTAAATTTCAAGTGCTTCTCTCAGTTTTTGTTTTATGATCTTGATTTGTCTTATTAATTGATTTATGAGATATTAATTTCGGTAAACTATTATAATGTCTTAGTTTTCATCAAAATGAAGATGATTTTTCTTTTTTTACCTTTTATCGGTAATACATGTTTTTTCTTTGCTTAAGTGTATAAAAAGATTCTTTTTCATTTCATCCACTGGCACTGCCCGAATATAAGCATCTATTAATGTTTTCCCAATAATGCATAATATATTATTTAGTCAAAGTAATGTAATGATGTATACTAGTACCATAAAAATTACGATCTGAGACGAATGTTTTGAATAACTATTTTTATTTCCTGATTCATTAGATTGACTTGCATTTCGTCATTGCATCATTTTATTTTAGTTTCTTCGACGGAATAAGAAAGTGCTTCTATTACACAAATATTTCTTGCCCAGATTTTTATTTGGAAAGTAATAAAAGGCGAGTATTGTATGCTATAATATATGATTGCAAACAGTACTAACATTTTCTCTTTACACCAAATAGCAAGGGAACTCGAAATGAATAAAATTGAGAATGGAAATGGGGAATGTGTCAAAGAGACAACCTCCCGACCATAGAGTAGACAACAGCCGAAGGCCACCAATGGGTCTTCAATGCAGCGAGAGAAACTCCCGCACCCGGAGGCGTCCTTCAGCTGGCCCCTAAACAAATATGTATACTAGTTCAGTGATAATGGACGTCATACTAAACTCCAAATTATACACAAGAAACTAAAATTAAAAATGATACAAGACTAACAAAGGCCAGATGCTCCAGACTTGGGACAGGCGCAAAAATGCGGCGGGGTTAAACATGTTTTTTGAGGAAACATAGTTTAGTCAAATTGTATAACTTTGGTGTTTTTCATGACCACATTTAGCATTTAACAACAAGATTTTTCAAAATGTCGCAGTGAGACACATACTGGAATGAAAAAATTGTGGGCTATCGCGTTGTATCAAATTGATTGGTACTAATATGAAACGTTATGACGTTACG